GAAACCCCAACCCTAACCCTAAACCTAGCAAAGGAGACGAATGAAAAAGAAGAGAAACAGAGGGGGCAAAGAGATGAGAACAGGGAGATCGGGAGCCAAGGAGAGAGACTTAGAGGCTATTTTTAGTCTCCAGCTGTGTGAGTCACTCTGAAACGGTGTCGAGAAAGACTCGCGTTGGTAGACGTTAGCAGAGAGGGATTGGGACACGTCGTCTGAGATGCTTTGAAGATCACCGCTCATAGACGGAACATGTATTAAATATGTGCGGCAGTCTCGCCAGTGGTGTAGCTAGCAATGGCACTGGATTAGCATAAAGCCCCATGGAAAATTATTCTTAATTGAGCACGCCTTGATCTCGTGTTCTCAAGTGCGTCGAGTGGGATACGGGTTTGCGGCGTTCCCATCCCATCCCGTCTATATGTTGGTTTTAATCGAGCCTTACGACTAATTTATTGACATTTGGATTGTTTGCAAGTGTGCCATCCTGGTATTAAACATCCTCAGGTTAAAGCGAGTTCAACATGTATCCTGTAAAAATTGATCCAACAAGTCGATGCACCATGAAGCCTAAAATACTGGGAGAAGGACTCTTGGTAGATAAGTTCAATGCATGGAGAGAAAACTCAGAAAACTTTTGCAGTTTGGGAGAAGTACAAGATAGCGTTGGATAAGGCTGTACAGATACCAAACAGGAGGTAGAGAGTATTTTCAGCTCCTTCTGAAAGCATAAAGTTCTTTCTCTTTTTTCAGCTTGTAGGTCAGAATTATATTAGTTCAACTTTCCAACTCTACAAACTGAGGTGCAGAATTTTATTTTATTTATTTTTTTAAATCAAGTTTTTCACTGCACTGCTACTTCTCTGTAAACACCATTTCTCAAAAGAATACAGGAGCCGAGTTCTGCTTGATTAATAAAATAAAAATGTATTTCTGCTCTCTATAGGAATAGAAAACTCGCTAAAAGCCGCGGAAAACATCTCAGGAGTCGGCAGCTTGATGCATTTTGTATTAATGGAAACAACAGAGGGGTTGGTTGACTTCAGCAGCCGCTGTGTAAATCAATAAATGAGGCTTTAATTTCAAGTGCAGACACAAGAAATCTTGAGAAATTATTTAAATATGTCCCAGTGACTTGTAAAAATGGGGATAGTAAACGGACTTGAGCTTGTATAGTGCTTTTCTAGTTTTTGACGACTAAAAGGACTTTTACACTGCTGGTCACATCTACGCATTAACACCCATTCACTTATGCAGAGGGCCTTTGACGTAACATCTGGTGTTTCCATGGCTACACATGTCCCATTACAACTAGAAAATTACAGATTTTTCCAGCCTTGGTCACTGTTGGAAATATTTGAAGTAATGTAATGAAAAAAATACAAACACATTAGTCAATTGTAAATTAATATTTTAGCGTAAAGATTCTACATATTACAACTTCAAAAACATTGGCCATTCTAGAGTCTGTTGGGGCCCTAGGCAAAAACCAATTGGGCGCCCCCCCCAACCAGCATTCAACTAGAGTGATTGGTCTCAGATGGGGCCACCGTAGGGAGGGTTCCTTCTGTCATTGCAAAATTTGCACATTTTGGGCTGCTGCTTTGGTTCAAGTTTGTCAGCCCTCAGGGACCCCCCCCCCCCCTACTGGTCTGGGGCCCCAAGCAGTTGTCTACCTTGCCTGCGCCATGTTTCCACCAAGTGGTGAGGTTCAGTTTGATTCGGTCCAGTACGCATTCATTGATGTTTCCACTGTCTAAAGTTGGGAATGGTACCGTCCTACTTTTTTTGCTGCCCCTGTTGGGGTCCCAAGCCTACAGATCTGACCCTAAAGGGTGGAGCTTGACACACTGCAGTCCGTTGACTGGCTTTTTTCTTTATTTCGGCTACCACATGGGAAGTGATGGTTTTTCGACCTGTCAACGGACTGCAGTGTTTCTAGCTCCAACCTCTAGGGTCAGATTGGTACACTTGCCACCCCAACAGAAGGGCAGCAAAAAAAAGGAGGAAGGTACTGATTGGTTGTTTTGGTACCAATCCTAACTTTTGACTGAAAATGGCAATAAATGAGAACCGGACTGCTAGGTGGAAACAAAGCTTTTGAGACTTAGATATAGTGTATATTGTCACATATATTTTATGTCAGCATTGCACTTTTGACTTATCTACAATGTCTGTGTCTTGTATGCTCATTTCAAATGGTCTTGCAGCAAAGGAGCAGCCTTTCCTTGACTGGTGCAGACAGCAGCATAGATTAAAACCAGAGTGTATCTGTTGCATAAGACATTGCGAGCATAAAACCCTTCTGATGTGCCTGCTGTCTAGACACGCTGTTAAGCTGACAATACCCTGACAGAGTTGCTTGAAACTCTCACTCCTGCCCCACACAAATCCAATATCTGATTAGAAAGCAGCTGACCCTCCTAATCAGAGCATTTCAGAAACTTTTCTAAAATAAACTCACCCTGCTTGATATCTTGATTGCCTATTGATGCCGAGATGTGAAAATAACTGATAATTTTGAACTCCTCCTTAAAACGTCTATTACTTTATTGAATAGCTGATTATGTTGGACAACCGTTGATTATGCTGCCCTCTCTCTGAGATGATCAGCTTTTCACTATGCCTTTGAGTTTGACAGTTGAGAATTACTTTTGATTTTGCAAGCCTGGTCATCTTAAGAACTGATGTACCAGGCATGTCAAAACACTGTGTCTCGTTCCTACAAGAGGGCAATATGACGCGACTATTGATTTGATTCCTGTATCTTATTCATGACTGTGGAAACAATTGAGTGCTCTATGTTGTGTTTTTAATCTCAATGTAAAGCACGTTGAGCTTAAATGTCAAAATTGCGATCGCTATTGCATTGGGCTTCCCTACATAGATCATTTGCGTACTGGGTACAATAAAAAAAAGTCTGTTTCGGTATCCTTGGAAATGACTGACAGCACTCCTGGAAAGGATATCTAAAATTGCCTTTTGAAAAACATGCACTCAATACATGGGTCCATCTATACTGGTTTGGTTCAGTACAGTTCGGTTCGGTATGGTAAACATTGAACTTGCTTGAGTTTCCACACCCAACCGTTACTTATTTGGTAAGTGGAGTGTAAGCCAGATGGAGATATTGTGTCATAGTGTGACATCATAGCAGCCCAACACAGTGTAGCCCGCTATCCATTAAGTTCAACAAAGAAGAAGAACGGGATAGAGTATACACAAGGGCAGCCTTTAGGGTCAGATCGGTACCCTTGGCAACCCAACAGAAGGGTACCAAAAAAGTAGGACGGTATGGGTCCCTTATTTTGTTACCATTCCCAACTTTTGATGTTGGAAAAGCCATAAATGGGTACCGTACTGTACTGAACTGAACCGGTCGCTTGGTGGAAACGAGGATTTTAGATAGCCTGGAGAACTGACACCTTATGCTCTTACCTCTTTCTCTATCTGTAAATCTCAAGTTACTGACCACATGTTTCCTGAGCTCTCTTAGGTTCCTCAGGATCGTTGGTGGACGGCCTGTCTGACCAACCCACCCCCGTTCGTCCCTATCCTTCTTCCTGCATCTTATCCCATTTTCAGTTTCATTAGACGGCTGTCCGTCATGAGCCTGGACGAACTATCCTGTTTCAAGAGAGAGAAAGAAGAGAAGCAGGAGTTAGCAGCCCTCGCTAAGACGCTAACCCTCGCTACATGCAAGCTAATTACCGGTTCAAGCTGAGTGTTGGCAAACAAGAAGGAGTCAGGTTCAAAAAATTACTTTGGTGTGAAAATAAGCACGGCACTCACGCTTCACCGCTCAGCCTATCTGCAATTTTTTCAAGTTTGTGTTTTCTTTTGGGAGCTGTGTAGCGTGACTCACTCAGCAGTGTGTGTTCTTCTTGTACAAAGTTTTTTTTTTCTGCGTGTTGAATTTTTTATGAATCAGACAGGTTTTCGAATCCTTTTTTACGGCGTTATCTCATTAAAGGTTTAAAAGCGCTGCAGTTTTTTTAACGCTATCTAATTTGATTTATTTTGATGTGATCATGTTTGTTTTTTATGCAGGTACGTCTTCCTATTCTGTGTATAAACGACTCCTTCTCTTGCATTCAAACGTGTCACATTTGAATTGCCTTTAAATGTTTCCTCATGTATATCATGTCTGCGCGGTGTCTTCCTGCAGTGATATTACTCTATTTTGATCTCCATTTCCCATTTTTTATATGCAGGAATCATCCTCTCCTCCTGCAGAGGTTTTGGCACGCCATGAGAGGCTATACACGGTGGGAATGATTAAGGTGCTGTTTGAAAAGCTCAGCCCATTTGAACTCTGTTCCCTGCCGTTCCTTCTCTGAATCATCATCTTATGAGCACAGCGAATGTTCCTTATCTCCCTTACACCTGCCCTCATTTTCGGCTTGCTCCCCTTTTCCTCCACGACAACCAACAAAATCTCTCGCTCTCTCTCCTTCGTTTTTTCTTTACAGAACCAGATTATATTTCAAGGGGCGAAGAGGCAATTGTGTTCTAACCCCCCATTGAAGTTCAAACTGCGCGATGGGAGGAGGCAATCTCTTCGGGGGAAAAAAAGGCGATTTGTGCAAGAGCGGATGATCAAGTGTGTTTGTCAATGGAGTAGGTGGTTTGGCTCCAGGAGAGTGGAGGGGAGGGAGGGGGTGTACTCAAAAATGATGCAAATGGCTCCGCTTGAAGGTAAACACACAAATATAAGTGGAAAAAGGTTTTGATCTTTTTTTAAAAAAGGTTTGGATGAGGAAACTTCCACGCAATGTCACTACTCATGTCAGATCTCTATCGTCCCTCAGGAGGGAATCTGGACTCACACTAGAGGGACATACAAGAAAAGGGCTCCCTGTTTACATCAGGTAGCAGATTTATTTTTTAGAAAGAGTACCATGACTACCTCTGTCGGCGAGATTACTCAGACTCCCCCATTTCACTTAGAACGAAAAACATGAATAATTCACAAAGTCATTAACCTGAGCAATTTGCCCATAGCCCTCTCCTCCAGCTTATGCAAAAAAAAGCTCTATTTGTGGAGCTCTAACCCGGAATGTCTGACTACATTTCAGAGGTTTCAAAGTTTTCTCTGGGGGGCTGAAGTGGCCTGCCATGATGACGATGATGACGTTTATATATATATATATATATATATATTTGTAATTCAGTGACAGTTGTGTCCTGAGGGGGGATGTTTCAAAAAGAAATATGCCTGTGAGACAGCTGTGTCACAAAACTGTGGGTTTAAATAAAACCATATAAAGGAAGAAAAATAATCTCCTCTTGAAGTTTCTTGAAGTACTGATAGCAGTGTTTGCATTGTCTAGAAATATTCAGATTACCCTGCCTTCAGTTCAACTTTGATTTCTCCTTCAAATGACTATTGGTGTATATTCCACCCAAGTGATATATGACATCATTTTAATTCACGGTTTCACCATATTACCAATTACAACACGACGTCTGCTCTTTAGTTCATCCATTAAAATGTAGTCGGAGGGCTCAGGAGGAAATGTGTATTCCAGACAGCGATGAATCTCATAAAGAAAACATGCATATTAAATGAATATTTCATGAATAATCTTGATCTGGTCATGCCCTCTCTTGAAAAAAAAAAGGTATGCACAAAATATTGATGGATGTTCCGCCATGCAATACATAAAAAAATGTCTGAAATCGATTGGTCATGTCTGATATGATGCTTTAATCCAGCCTTGACGTATGCTTCATTTGCAGATTGGAAATAAATCGAAGGATGCCCTTGGTACTGAGTGAACAGATGAATTCCTATGAGATTTGCTCATGACAACACACATGTTGGTGAGTTTATTCAGAGTTCTATAGAAGAGCAGTATTTCTTACCCTCTGTGTTATTCTACCTCATTCCATTTTGTTCCACTGAAAAAGATTCAGAAGGCCTTCAGTGACCCTACTTCATGCCCTCTGGTCCAAAAGTAAGAATAAATGGACTGATAGCATTAATACAAATCAGCTTAGTCAAATTTCCTTTTTCACCTGTGACCTGTGGTGTCCCAGAGGCCTCGGTGTCGGATATCAAACCACCGCAGAACTCAAAGAACTTGTTTCATTTTAAGGTCGAGCATTTTACAAATCCTAACCTTTTGCACAAGGACATTATGTTCATTACACTTAGTAGTGTCACTGTGTCTTCCATCCGTCCATTATCTATACAGACTTTTCCCATCCCAGCTTCAGTCATTGGGCAAAATAGTGTGACATCATAGCAGCCCAACACAGTGTAGCCCGCTATTAATCAAGTTCAAGAACAAGAACAGGACACAGTTAACAAAGGGAGCCTTTAGGGTCGGATCAGTACCCTTAGCAACCCCAACAGAAGGGTACCAAAGAAGTAGGACGGTATGGATCGTTTATTTTGGGAACATTCCCCAACTTTTGATGGTGGAAACGCCAATAAATGGGTACAGTACCAAACCGAACTAAACCGGAGCGCTTGGTGGAAACGGGGCAATGGGGAATTGGGCAATTTAAGAGTCACCAATTAACAAGCATTTCTTTGAACTACCCAGTGAGAAACCAACACATGCACAGGGAGAACATGTAAACACCCTGATGGGGATTCAAACCAGGAAGCTAGTGTCACTGTGTAATGTGTGAAGCTAAATTGACAGAGCTACCTGTTATTGCAGCTCAAACCAGATGATCGCGGGGTTCAAATATTGAGAATTCATTAGTAAAGACAACTATTGATGGAAAGGCTGCTCATATGAGCCCAACCTGCAATAGTGCGCGGTGTGAACCTCTTCATGCAGTACTCCTACAGAGACAGGGACGGTGGGAGGTAAAATGGTGAGAATTGTGTAGGTTTTTTTTTAAACTCTGTGATCAAAAAGCTATGTGAGAGCTAATCTGGAAACATTCTGGGCTCAAGCCCTGACAGAAAGCACTTAGCGAGACCACAGGGGAGGTAAGAATTACTTCCTCACACTTTCCATCCTCAGAGCTGCTCTGGAGATGTGAACTGCTGACCTTGAGTGCACAACCCCGCTTATCCATCCTTTAGGGATGCAAACCGTAAGTATACACGAGCTGATCTTGAATAAATACATTTTTTTAAAAACTGTTTTAGGTCACCCAAAATCTGCATGATATGATGTGGTTTCTACGGGCTCATGGAGAATTCAAACCTGGGGGCATATCCATACTGTATACATTACAGCCTTGATGTACCTGAAGCAGGTATTAAAACACACAATGAACTGACGTGTGCAAGGAAGAGGTAGCGCGATAGCTGTTTTTCTAAAATAGAAATACTGTATGTTCCAATTATGATTTACAGTATGTCCAATTTACATTCTTCCTTAGCTCAGGCAAAGAACACTGATAGTGTTTAACCTCCACAAACAACATGCATGATATGAATATTAATAAGTGTGAAATGTAGAAGCAAAGCCTATAAATATGACATGCAATACATACACGGTGAGAGGACGTCAGGTTATGTATATAAAGTGCGGCTGCACAACATTAAAAAAAATGTCACAGGGCAGAACGGAACAAACAAACAAAATTGATGGTGTTTGTTCGGCTCGCCCTATAACTGACTTGCACAGGCTTTATTGTCGCAAAGACCTGGCTCCAGTGTATTCTGCATTTTATTATGTTGATTTAAAAAACATACGACCTTTAGCTTGCTGAGAGTCTCTGTAAAAACAAATGACAATACACGCTGTTTAGATTGTTCTTGCCTCGCAGGAGGGCCGCGCACCACTGATGTTTCAATTTGCGCTGTCCCAGAAATGCCATGTTAATTTTTTCCGAGAGTGATGGAATTGTTGAAATACTGTCGTATTTAATTGTCGTAAACGCCTCATCTATCTTTCAACGTATCTTATGAGTCTGTCATTATTTTTCTCTCTTCAGCTCCCTCGGAACAATCTACATTCCTTCACTTGCAACTGAGAGTGGATACTGATTCTGAACAACAATTCAACTTATTTTGGTATCGTATCAGCCAATGGAAGAGGCTTCTGACACTGTTCAGATTCACCGTCTGCAGAATGGTGCCGATCGGAGTTGGGAATGTCTGCCAATACATAATTTGTCACTGCAGCTTGGACTACAAATTGACTACAAATGGAAACTAGAAGACTTCCCACGCTGGAAATCAAGACCCTTCCGTCTACCGATTCTACATTCCCATGTAGAAGTGGAGATTATGTGGAACCCAAACACAGACGACAGACGAAGAGACAGACGATGGTGAGCAGGTTTCTTGAAATGCACTTCAGAGGAGACGAGATGACTGGGCATGGCTGGTGAAGTGACTAAGCGTGTGAGTGAGCGAGTAAACAGGCAGGTTAGCAGACAAGCTGGCTTACATCATGATGCAGATGAGACAAAGTCCTTGTTCAACCTGCCAGCCTAAATCATTTTGTTTTGTCACATATACAGAGAGTAGCCAGGTGGATTTTAAACAACACAGTGACTTTTTAAAAATTTGGATGGAGGCAGCTACTCTAATTCTAGTAAGATTTCGACGGATGTTTCAAAGAAATGTCATTCTGGCTACTCAGATTTACATAGAAGTGTCTTTTTATGTCGCTGGCCACACAGTACACAACATCAACCTCAAATCCAAAATGACTGGTTGGCTTTAGTAGAATGGTCTTCGTCTACAGCTATAGGTCATTTCCAATGCTGTTAGTCAGTTGCAAAAATCTAGTCCTACTGCCGGATTTAAAACAAGATAATTTGCTTGCTTGAAATTCACAATTTTTTCCAAATATTTCCGCATCCAAAAAGCTGTGTCACCAACCCAATGTTAATGAAGGAAGCTATTTTTGATTTAGTCTTAGGCTGTGTCTGAAACCACCATACTACATATTGCCTACTGCATAGTCAAAATATATATATTGCATACTAACCCGACCATTAGTAACATACTTAAAAAGGAGTCTGCGACGTACTTCTGGTTGGACCTGAGTAACTTTAATCACAGTGTGCTTGTGTGGGAAAGAACAATATGTTAAGAAAACTCTACCCAAGGTTGTGATGTTGTTCAAGAACAGCCAACTGGTTGTATCATTGTTAGCCTACCAGAAGAGGTCATGATGTTTTTATCTTTGTTTGTGATTGGCCAAAATGGCTTTACAGTAGAGCCCGACTGATTTATCGGCCAGCCGATAAAATCAGCTGATATTAACATATCCAGTGACTATCGGCATTGGATAGTTTTATCGCAGATGTGCGCAGATATTATGAGATTTATCTACTCGTCAATTAGCATTTCATTTGAGTATCACCGTATTACAGAAGCACCTCTCGTTCACCAGCAGAGGGTGCTATATGGATTACACAAAGCATCATCACTCTCCAGAGAAAGATACTGGCCAATATTGTATATCGGTATCAGATTTTTCTCACCCTAATATCAGCCCCAAAAATCAAAATCTGTCTTGCTCTTGCCAGCACGTAACAATGCATTTTTGCGTCCTTATGCGGACAAAGATGTTTTTGAGAACTTAATTAATTTGAACAGACTTATTTTTTGAAACAGAGGAGGAAGAATACTGTGCACGAGGCATTATTCTAAGCACTGAGTGTGCCCACTCGTGCAAATAATGTGGAAAAGAAAGCTTTCAAGTGTCAACGACATTCATCATGTCACGCAGTAAAGGCCCTGAAAAACAGAAATGACAATAGGTGCAATACAGTTGAATATGGGCAGAGATTTCACCGCTGGAACTTCAAGAAAAAATGTTGTTGTGCAAGCTGAGGGATGAGCTATTTCATCAAACAGCATGGGCTCCCATTATACAGGCCGCCATGTTCACCTTCCACGTTTGGACCAGCTTAGTCATCGCAGATGAAACAGTTGTGCTCCCATTAGTCGAAGCAAATAGAGGTCCTTGAAGGCTTCGGTCAGGGTCAAATTTAAGAGTCAAATCTAGCTAGGGGAGCTATCAATAAGAATGGAAAGAACTTCTGAGTCATACAAGAAAAAGATTCCAAGAGGTGAGTTTTTCAGCTCTGGAAACCAAACCGAGGTGAGGTTGGTGTTACATTGTATCCTCCTGTATTCTACCTGTGAAGCCTCATGGATGAAACATAACCCAGTTTTTCTCATCAATGTTGGCAAAAGGGAAGGGAGAAAAACCTGAATGTGGGTGGCAACACTGAATTCCAAGACTAGATTATGTTCCCGTAGCTGTTAAGAACATGATGCACCTGCTGAGAAATCACAACACTCCACTCAACGACACCTCACTTTAACCACCAGTTTACTGCCTGAGAGTGTTTTTTCCTCTGGAAACATATAAGTGTCTCTAAAAGGTTAATTAATGAAAACATTGGATGTATTAAGGACATTTCGCTCCACTCCGTGTGCGTTGGATTTCTACTTCCCTTCAACAGATAATGGAGAAAAAAAACCTGCCTTGTCCTCGACAAGAAAGGACATTAAGTCCTTTTATCTGAAGATAAAGTCAAGCACCTTCTCTTACCTAACTGAACATATTAATAGCTCAAATAAAAGGACTCAGTGTTTGCTTATTTGATTCAAATAAAGTCAAAGAGAGTGTCTCTTCTGTGATTTTCATTCTTTTCTTTAGTCAAACTTTACTGTCCGCTCGATCGCTTTCATAACCTGTAGGAGTCTTCCATTATTGCTTTTGTTTCTGCATAGGTAACGCAGTCATACCGTATTCTAATAAATCTCCAGAGCACTCGTATTTGCTTTATTGGGAGCTTTTTGATTCTAAAAATAAAAAGTAAATTAAAAGGTTTAAATTGTGAGTTGGAACTAATGGTTGAAGTTGCAAGCTCCGTGTGTGTGTGTGTGTGTTGGTGTGGTCTTTACCAGTCAGGCTTCAGGGTTAAACATGGGTTTTAAGGGTGGTTAATTTTCCTACTTTTATACATTGCCATGGTTATATGCTGCATGGAAATGTTTGGTAATCATACCCACCACAAATTTCAGCATTTTATCAGGAATGGATGCCAGTTTTTTATTAAACTTGGTGATACTTGCCGTTAATGTTAAAGGCACAGTATGTAAATTCAGCCGCCTGGGGGCTCCTCAATAAAAAAACAAACAAAAGATGGCGTCGAGGCTGGTGTTGAATCATGGGAATGATGACTAATGAAAATTGACTCCAAGTTGATCATAGTCAAGATGAACAGGAAACAGGACCTGTGGACTTTCACACTACTACACAGGGAGCACACCAGAGATATCGGGGGTTTACTACCTTGCTCAAGGGTACCTTGTCAGTACACTCCAGCTACCAGACCAACTTCCACATTTGGTCCGCCCCGAGACTTGAACCGGCGACCCTCCAGTTCCCAACCCAAATCCCTACAGACTCTGCTATACTGCTACCACCATACACCACCAAACCTTGTATATAGAATCTGTAGATAGACCTTTATCAACCCATCAATTCTTGAGATCCCAAAGCTTTTCCACACCACTATCCAATCTGATAACTCCTTAACCTGCAATCTGAACAACACCTAACTTCCTGTTTCTAGTAATACCAACTGCTAGTGTTGTTGAGTCCTCTTTAGTTGTCAAGTGTTATTGTGATATTCTGTTAGTCTACCATTTTTGTTTTCTTGTGTTCACTTCCTGTTTTATTTTGTAATCTGCCGCTTGTGTATGTGATCTAGTCTGACTTCCTGCCATTGTTCTGTTTCCCGCCTTTTGTCCCAACACACCTGTGTCTCATCTGTAATCAACCTGACCTGTATATGTAGCCCTGTGTTTCCAGCAGACTCATGCCAGTTTGTCTTTGTCTCCTTAGTGTGTCCATGCTTGCCAGCCTTGTTTTCCTTGTGTTGGCTTGCCCAGCTTCAAATGTGTTTGGATTTTGGGACTGTTGGATTTTGGATATTGTGTATTTGCCCTTGTAAGATTGTTTTCTCCCTTGCATCATGATCAACAGACATTAGGCATGTCACCAAGCTACAGTACTGATACTGAACAGTAACAAGTAGTAAGCCACTACAATGCCCCCAAAAAATGAGTTTTTGGAATTGTGTTGTCAACCAACAGCTTCTAAAAAAATGCAAAAACAGAAGATCCTATATGAAGAAAGCATCAATCACCGGACAGCACTTCATCACCCTTCTTTACTGACACCTTGTCCTAGTTTTGCCCCAGGGACCACAGACGAAGACTGAAGTAAAAGCCCTGAAGAACCCGCCACCCGCCCGTGCTTTGTTGTTGGCACTGATGGTGGATTTTAGCTCGCTGGCGGATTTTAGCTCGCTAGCAGCTTTGGTGGAGCCCTTTCAGCCATCTGACTTTGTTTTTCCCTGGGAGTCACTTTTGCCACAGAAACTTCTGGCCGTGTATACACCTGCTGTGGTTTAATGGATCGAAGCTCATTGGTCCTGAGAGTTCTAAGGCGGACAACCCATTCATGACAGGAGGGTTTGGAAACCGCCGCACAGCAACTGGTAAGAGTTTGGTTCATTATGTGCTGCCGCCGAGCAGTTATGCATCATAATTCAACACTTTTTCAACACTGATACTTCAGCTGCACACATGTATTTAGCTGTATGCTGTGCGCTCTGTTAACTCATTTGTGCTGGTTTCAATATTGTGCATGTTTGGATATGTTTTGTTGTTGGTGCTGCTCAGTGTGCACAGACCTGTTCAGAGGTGTGTAGGCTGTTCCTATATTGTTGCAAAACTGGCATAAGGCCTACTCTTTTTCCATGGCCGTCGTAAATTTGCTGACTGGTCTGATGCATGAACGTGCGCCCTGTCACAGATCCAGTAAGGATACATTCCAGTTCACTGCGCACTACAGCCCTTGCTTAAGCAATGTGCAGCAACATTGCCAGTGTGACCGCGTCCTTAGACCCCAAGAAGTTTGTCCTGTTTTGATTTAAAATCTGAGTATTTGACTGAATGTCAGCCCTTGCAGAGAGTTACAGTTAGTCAGTGTGAAGTTTGTGAAAATAATACAAGATGGAAAGACTAATAAACCATACAGAAGCTATGCGCTCATTTTTGTTACAGCCTCCCCCCGAGTGCAGTTTATAAAGCAGCATTTGATGAGAAGTCTAACCCCCATAGAAATTAAGAAAATTAATATCTTTGTTGTACTCATGTGCACACTCAAACAACAGATATACGTTTGACTTCATTAGTGGCTGTGAAGTTGTTGTGGCTAATAACTGCAGAAGAATCAATTCCATACTTCCATTCCCTGCATTGGTCGTTCAAATGTTTTCCAACCTTGAAGCCTTGGTTTTGTTCTACCAGTTGCTTTGACTTTTTTTTTAAAGTTTAAAAACTAACCTTTTAGTCCTTACAGCACGGGCAATGCGTGTTCCAGTGAAGTTTGGTTTGATTGCTCAGTCTTTTTTACTAAACAGTTTGGGATCAATTCTATTGACTCAGACTTAAGCTGGGGACAGCTGTTCTCATTTTTCATAAAGGCCAAATGCTCAGGCGATGGATGAAATGGATTGACTTCGGATGTAATTGCTCAGCAGTAGAACATCTTAAAACTTAAAACCCCCTATAATTGCCCTGTTTGCTTATTGGACAAACAGTACCTCCTGTGAAAAATAAAAAGTTTCATGGCGACTCCATGTGCACAAAAAATAAAATAAAACAAGTCAAGTAAACTCAAGAAAAAAAGTAAGAGCTTAAAGATTACAGTTTAGAAAACATAAAAGTTGTGAATTCATTGTCCCTAGAGGATTAGGTCCCAATGATGGCTGCCATTCCATATTTACACCTCTTGACCATTTATTTGTTCTGCTTACAACAGGTTGACATTTTTTTTTATTATTATTGAAACAACCAGGGGTGTATCCAAAGGTAGCTTGGGCCCCTCTTGAAATCTGATTGGCCTCCCCAAGTGCCACCTCTAAAGTCCTGATCTCTTACTGGCCATTTGCCCGGTTAGAGGCGGGACTTACGTTAAAGCCACCCTTAAGGCTTTTTTCTTTTTCTTGCAAAAAGCTACTTGAAGTTCACTTTACGTATCAATATAGCATTTTATCTTTTGTTTGTCCTTTAATTTGTAAATAGCACACATACAAAATGCAGGCCACCCCAGCATAAGTCAGCGCCCGAGTTGGGCCACCCTGGTCAACAAAGTCTGGAGACACCCCTGGAAACAGCCCAACCCAAGACAGACTAAACTGGTTTTGAATTGTGCCTTAGCCTGCTTTGGTCAAAAATGAATTCATGAAATAGAGAAGGGTCAACAGTAATGTCTGTTTTTGATAACTCTGCACTGTCTGCTTTTTAAAACATTGCTGTACATATATAAACAACACTACTTCCGAAGGTCAACACTTTTTTATTCTTGTTTTTTTTATATTCGGGTCTAATTACAGATTTTTTTCCCTCAACTGTTTATAAGTTCTCGCTTTAAATTACACATATATTTTTATCCCTGCACGGGTTATGTACATTTCTTGTATAAATCTATTTTTAATTGCACAGTTTAAGTTTGATTCATCTAGGGGGATTCTTTAAATCTTTTTTGGGGTTAATATATATGTATTGGAGGGGGGGGGGGGGTCGGTTTTGTGGCTAATTTGTAACAAATGTTTCATGTCATCACGTCTTTGTAACCTGCTACTGGATGCTTTGAATTTCCCTCGGGATCAATAAAGTGTCTATCTATCTATCTATCTATTAAAGGTCACATATTATAATCCTTTTAAATAAGTTTCAAGAAGTCTCAGAGCTCCCCAAAACATGTCTGTGAAGTTTCTTTGGTTGGTATTTTTTCCTTTGCTCAAATCTCATTCACTCCAAGGGAAGGGTTAGATTGATTACACCAGAAGTCAATGTGGCACTGATTACAGAGCAAGCTCAGACTTCCAACACAGTCATGCTAGTTTTGGAGTGACCAGCTAACATGGTAAAGGTTTGTGGCCAATAGGCTAATGTTTGTTCTCTCCTGCCAGCTGGGTTAATCAGTCCACAATTCTGTGACTCGATCCACTCAATCTAACATTCGTCTTTGCAAGTCTTTGGCGTCTAATTAAATTCGATCAAATCAAATGGAGCCATTGTAGCGTAATGACACGAGTCCTGATTTGTGAGGATACAGACAACCGTCTCTGCTCACTTCGAACAGCTACCACTGCTATAGTGTCCAGTCAAAGGAAAGATGCTATAACACATACTGCTCTATTTATAGGCTGCACCTACTGCCCTGTTTTCTAATGTATTTCCATTTCTGCAGAGCTTCTAGTGGAATAAAAAAGGTCTTTGATTTTTTACGGTTTGACAACATCGCAGATAAATCTAACGTAAACTGCGTGCACAATTATCTGGCAAATGCTATTCTTCAGGAATCAATCCAAAATGTTTGACACCTGAATGTTTAACAAAGGAAAAGTGAGTTTAGTCTTTCTCAGGGTTATATAAGCTGTGCACACTTATTACAACTTGCTCATTTTTCAGTGTGAAGGTAACAAATAAGTAACTCCAAGTTACAATTAAAAAACAACGTAAGTATCCAGTGACCATTGTAGACACCCTACTTTTCAATTACTGCCATGAGCCTTCCATTGGGACTCAGTTGGTAGAGTTAGTTCCCAGTGGGATTAACGTCAGGAGGAAGGGTGCCTTCTGAGCACT